GATGTGTGCCCGCAAAACGGAGACATGTGAGTGACATTAACAAAGGAAATGTGATGACTTGCCCTGTAATAAAAGCATGTGTTTCGTAGAGAGTTAAAATTACCACCACTCTGTTCTTATGGTAATTCTTAGAAGCTGCTTCACTATTAAGAAAGAGGACAATTCTACTGGGGGTCTTCATTCATACCCATGCGCCGGTGTAATGTACGTAAAATAAATTAGAAGACAATCTTACTGTTTGAAGATGCTGCCTAATTCCTCATGTAATTGAGCATTCATACAACTAAGCTTTTTTTCTTTTCCTTACCAAAATTTCAAGTGGAAAAACCTCAGATGTTAATATGCTAATGAGCCTTTGCGTCAGAGTTACCCAGAATATTTATTTATTTTCTTTAATACTTGTCTGTGGCCATGCACACGTCTGGAAGTGTAGCATTGCTCTACCTCCCCCCAGAAGAGCCTCGTAAGAAAGTCTGGTGGGAATCAAAGCACTGAGAGCTGCTCTTTGTCAGCTGTTTCCACATATAAGCTCCTTAAGGGCAGGAGCTGCTTTCCACTAACTGTCTCAGCCCTAGCGCCAAGCACGATACGTAACACAGAGCAAGGCATTCAATAAATATTTGTTGAGCAAATGTTAAATACACACTTTTTTTTGACAAGGCAAGAACAAGGCATATCTTGAACTTAGCACTGCATTGTTAACCTTAAAGGACGCTTCATTGATTTCTCAATACCATGGGGCTGTTTTGTAGATTACTGAACTGGAAGCCAGTCCATTGCCAAAAGGGCACTAAGAAAAACTGTGCAAAAATGGAAAATGGGGCTTTCGGTTAAGGCAAATTTTAAAGAGGCCAGCAATCAGGAAAAATGAACCTTAACCCCATTGAAAGTGTGAAGTGTTTTCTTCAAAACTGTCTTTCACACAGTCTTTCACAATGAAAGACTGTGCTTTGCAATTTTTCTAAAAAAGAAAAAAATACTTCATGGTATAATCATTTTGTGATTTATTTCTCTTTTTCAAATATTGGATACTAAGTTTTCTTCAAAGACCAGGAATATTCTTAGTCAACTAGTTAGAACTTTGATCTGTCCACCAGGGAAGAGTATATGTATCCCCAAACCGTAAGACTAGATCTGATCTTGTACCTACATTAAAGTCATCAATACTCTTTCTTTGGGGGTTTTGCCTCTTTTCTGTTGACCCTGTGAAATTTACCCTGAGAACTGAATGATAATGGAATGGCAGTTAACTACTTACTAAGAGTCCCTTGGGGTGGGTGTGAGGATGGTTATGATTTACTCTGAAACAGGGCTTGATCTCAAAGTTCCACAGTGTATAGGGACACTCTTTTCCCGTCATTCAACTCCCTGGTTTTGGAGAGTCAGCTGTGCTCGGCGTGGGGCTGTCTAGGAGCTGCTGTAGTGTTGGGAAGGCTGAGAAAAAAAGGGGAAGGAATGAGGCTCTCATGGGAGCTGACGATGCTCCAGGAGGCTTCAGTGAGTTAAAAAAAAACAAAAACAAAAACAAAAAGAACAAAAAAAAAAAACCCATGACCCGGACAGAGGACGCCCTAACGTGTTTGTGCGTCACTTGCTGCCCGTGGGCTCCAGCAGCGATTACACTCCCGGGAGCACAGTGCACGCTCAAAGCGCTTAGTATGCGTGACGCAGTCCACAGTCCGAGATCATGTGCACATGTGGACAAACCGCTGCTGTGCACATGGGTAAGGATAAACATTCTGGACATTAGTTAACAGTTTTCAAAAGCATAATGTTAGAAGTCGGTGCCTTTTTTGAAAGCCGTCTTCCATTTGCCATTCTATTAATGCGCTCTTCTCCCTGTTAGCAGCTTGGCCAAACTAATAATCCCTAAGGGGTTCCTGCCCTCCAGATGCTCACTAGAAACAGTTCCATATTTGACAATTCCATAAACTGCACGTAGTGAGGGGAAAGGGTGGGAAGGAGTAAGAAGAGAGTCTGTGATATTGGCACAAGGACTTTCTGAGACCCCGGAGAGCTAGCTGGTCAGGCTCTCAGGCTGGGGCAGCGACCCGGGGTAAAGGCTGTCGTTGCAGCGGCCACAGAGCCCTGAGGCCTCAAATGCCTGGTGGTGTTTCTGGTGCTATGGCCTCTGACCCTGGTCCACAGTTCAGCCTTCAGTGGCCAATCAACACACTTTGTATAGAGCTGGAAAACTGACCCAGACCTCCAAGGAGGGTTTGCATCGGAGAGGTGAGCCTTCAGCACTTTCATCTCCTGACCGCCGGGGACCCCTCATTCCCGGTCTCTGGACATTTTGGGGTTGGCTTATACTATGTAATTTGAAGAGCTAATTTCAAGAAACACTGTAGGATATTTATACAATACATTCAAGTTTTCATCAATGTAGTTATGAAAGGGAATATTTCTCTGAAATAAGAGTAATTAGTCATGTTTCTTAACCAACTGGAACACTATTTTGTACCTGGACATTGACTTAAAAATATGAATGCATATTTAATGATTAAACAATGTAAAAGGATGAAAGAAAGAAAAAGATATACTTATGTATATATATGTACATGTGACAGATGAGTGAATTTGGATATAAGGTATATGGAACTTCTTTACATTGCTCTACAAGTTCTCCGTGAGGTTGAAATTATTGTTTAAACATTTACATAAATAATATAATGCATGTAAAAATATGAAATCATATGTAAATATTAAACAAATATAAATCAGATAACCTGAACATTTCAAAATTATTGACATTTTTAAATTGTTTTTTTATGTATTTCTTGTCATTCAAATGTCTCATTCTCTGTCCATATTTGGCACTTTTGTCAATATCAACGATGTCCCCAAGTTCCCTCATGTGACAGGTAACACCTGGGATTGGAGCCCATCTCTTGTCCCAGCAGTCTTCCCCTCTGTCCATGAATTCTGCATTTCTAACTCCTGAAAGGCAACCAGTGCAGTTTGAAACCTGTTGCCATCCAACTCCAATTGGATTTCAGACCATTTGATTAAAAACTACAAAAGAACTACTTTCAACCAAAGCTTCTTAGAGTGGAACACAAACATTTGTGAAGTGGGCGCACAGTCCATCCCCTGCACTTGCAGCTTCAGAGGGAATCTGGGCGGAGGAGGAATTAACCACAGACTGAGCCCCACCCCCAGGGTGGGTGACCTCACACAGAGGTCAAGGAGGTTTAAATGTGCAGTGGCTTTTCTGCAACCGAACCTTAGTTACACATCCGAGCTTTCAAAGTCTCATAAGAAAGGCCAGAGATGTTGGCTTCATGAAAATGTTAAAAGCAAACCAGCAACATCAAGTTGATGTTAAAATCATCATAACAAGATAATCTGAAAGATAGAGGCTCATACATAAATCATAGTCATTAGGGCCTTACTCTTCAATGAGATTGTTCTTTTGATTAAAATTAATACTAAGCATGCATATTATGATATTATGCATATTATGATATGCATATTATGAAATTATTGCATATTGTGATATGCAAATGAAGAGGCTGATATTTTCTTTTTTTGACATTTGAACAATGGTTTGCTAGTTGCGGGGTATTCGTGTTGACTTTCTTATTTATATAGTCTTACAGTTCAGATGTTTCCACTTTGCATGGCACATATCTGAAAGCATTTTTTTCTTTAATCCAGGAAATCAACAATGTTTACCAAAACTGAGCTTTTATGCCTAAATCTTAAAATTCTCAAATCTTTGTAGAATACAAACTCCAAAGAGATTTGTGCATTGCTAGTAATACATGCTGTTCTGGGGACAAGATGCAGGAGAGTGCCTCCGTACTGAGCATAACCGTGAGGGGCTACAGTATTGGAGACTGCTGGCCCTCTGCTAATGCTTCTGAGGAGTGAGTTATAACTTCTTGCCGTAGGAGGTGTTTTTTTCATGAGGGTGCGTATAAGGTGATGTACTAGCAGCCTTCAATTTCTATGTCACTTTTTTCACCACTGTGGGTAACATCAGACGGCAGAGAAAATGCTCTCTGGCTCCCTAGGATACGAACCTCAGTCTCAGATCTAGATAATTTTAGATATTTTGATTTCCTTATAGAAATTCCTAGACTACTTGTGGGATAAAACAAATGCTAAGGCCGCGTTGCGTTTCCAGCTGAATTAGCAGAAAATAAAGATAAAATGCCTTTCTATTTAGGAACATGATGATGTTTTAATTGTTACAGCATTTGGCATGCCTAATGTACACAGTCCTTGACATTCACATAATAACAAAAGAAAGTTGTTTGGGAATTTTATTTCCTAGTGTCCCCTCTCCTCCCTCATAGTTCTCCCACCCCCCTCCCAGCCCTGGCTCTTTGCTCTCCTCCCGTGTCCCCATCCTTCTGTAAAGAAACACGCTGAGCAGTGAAGGGGTCCATGGAAAAATACCTCATTGCTATGTAGATAGGCCAGGGCTGCTTATTACCTCACTATGATGAACAGACCACCATCGTTGTGACAACTGATGGAGATGCCTCCGGGGTAAAACAAAGGTTTACATATTACACAAGCAATTTAACTGTTTTCTAAACATAATGCCAAGACAGTGGGAGTTGGCAGCCCACACTGTGTTTTAGGTTTTGGAGACTTGGATTAGAAGTGACTGCTGATTATGAACCTTTTTATTTGTCTTCCATGGACTACAGGCAACCCTAGTAACCCGGCAAAGAATGCTTCCCAGCACTTAAAGCCTGTCGTCCTAGCTTCCCAAGATTACGTGCACAAATCACTCGACAGAAGTAGTGGAAGTGTCCTGTGCGTAGATAACCACGCAGGGCAACTGGCTCGCCCTCACTCTGAAAGAGTTCCGCAAAGCGAAACGTTTCATAATCCTTTTTTGTGCAGTAGGCAAGGAAGCAAAGAAAAGAGTTTGGGCAAAGATTATCCAGAAGAAAGAAAGAGACTCTTTTGGGGTTCCAGTGGAAACACAACAAAGGACATAATTAACTTCGCGATTCTTTGTGTTTTTCATTGGACTGCAGGGAGGAGATGAAAGAGGACTGCTAAGCCTTGCATTCCACCCCAATTACAAGAAAAACGGAAAGCTGTATGTGTCTTACACCACCAACCAGGAGCGGTGGGCTATGGGGCCTCACGACCACATTCTCCGAGTCGTGGAATACACAGTATCCAGGTATCCCTGAAACGCATGCAGGCATAAACATTTTTTAATCGTATTTTCTCTATATCGCTTCATTGTTTTGTCTAAAAATTATAAATAGATAACCAAACGGTGGCAATAATTAAACCCATAAGTCTCCGCCTTGCTTAAAACCCCACGTGCATCTTGAAAGAGAAATGTGAAAAATAATAGCTTTGGTACTTTTCCTCAGTTACCTTTCACCCTCGGTGCTACTTCTGTAACTTGGAAAATGACGTAACTTCTAGGTCATTTTTTATTAGCCCCATTTCAAGGACGGGTTTCCCCTTTACAGGCCAGGTGTCTGCTTCCCTAGGTGCGCACTCTTTCCTTTCCGGGGGATGCACCGCGCGGCCCTAACAGTCATCCGGTTGTTTCCTCCGCACCACGCAGGAAAAACCCCCACCAAGTGGATTCGAGAACCTCCCGGGTGTTTCTCGAAGTGGCCGAGCTCCACAGAAAGCATCTGGGAGGGCAGCTGCTGTTCGGCCCCGACGGCTTCCTTTACATCATTCTCGGCGACGGGATGATCACGCTGGATGACATGGAAGAAATGGACGGGTTAAGGTGAAAAACAGAAAACAAAAAGCAGGTTCCACTTGATGTTAACATGTCTTAAGTGCCAGGAGAAAGGGTCAGAGCAAGTGAGCGCAGAGCAGTCTCTGCGCTGTGTCGCCGCCGTGGTTAAAGGCCTCGCTTTGGTTCTCAGTGTCTGCACCTGTAACACGGAGCGGCAGGCATTGGGTAGCACGCGGCTGCCGGTAGCCCGCGGTTGGCGTAGTTTTGCAAGGCGCCAGGCCGAGGCGCGCTGACTCGAGTTACTGCGCGCTGGGCGGTGTGCACGCAGCCCTGGAAAGCGAGCAGCAGCGCCCTGTCCTCCGCCGCGGTCCTGGACGGCCACGCTGCCGTCACCATCTGCGATGTGGAGCTTGTATCATTGTGTCTCAGACGGCGGGGGCGGGGGTGATCTGTGGAGCAGCCTGTTCGCATTAGGCGTAGGTGAAGCATGTGACGAAAGCGAAAGCACTTACGTCGTCCTCCCGTTTCCCAGCGACTTCACAGGGTCTGTGCTCAGGCTGGACGTGGACACGGACGTGTGCAGCGTGCCCTATTCCATCCCGCGCAGCAACCCGCACTTCAACAGCACCAACCAGCCGCCCGAGGTGTTCGCCCACGGCCTCCACGACCCAGGCAGGTGAGAACGCCCGTCGGGGTTCAGGAACCGGGAGAAGAAAGAGGGGTCCCGGCCCAGGGTAGTCAAAAGCGTGGTGCAAGGCTGCACCCCTGAAATCGCACCGGTTCGGTATCCGAGCCAACTGTCAGCCCTGGATTCTATTAATGCCAGAAGCAGATTTGGACGGCAGATTAGACACATTCATGGAGAAAAATCGCCTTCCAGTTTGGAGGGCTATTATTAGAGAGACACTGTTGGCCCACGCAATCGTTCAGACTTCAGTCTGAATAACGAGAGGCATGCCAACCCGCCAACCCGCCAACCCTGTGTCTCCTTCCATCCGTCCAAACGGTACTTTCTTATGCCTTAAACGGGGTTGGTAAGAGCTACCTTGCAAGGATGCTGTGATGATTTAAAACAGATCTACAAGTAAAGCATGAAATGGAGTGTCTGACACACGTGGTAGATTTTAAGTAAATTACAGCTTTTATTATCATAGCTTCACGTAATGTATGTGACGATTCCATATCAATTTGTAAGGAGTTGACTCAATGTTGACATTCTTTTCCTTCAAAAAAAAATCACAAGTACTGAGGGAGTTCTAAATGAAATATTGACTACTTACTATAATGAGCCGCCAAGAAAGCCATACTAAGAAGGATGTAGAGTGAAAAAGTTGGGGTACGCTTTAGAAAGCTGCGAAGTCTGATGCAGCCGTTTGGTGATGAAAGCTTCACCCAGTCCGCAGGCGAAGGGCTCTCCGGCCAGGTTCACTCGTTTACTAGCTGAAGTGTTATTGCTGTTTAATGTTTATTGAGTGTTCGCTGTGTGCAAGGTGAGTATGTTTCGAACTTTTTATTTTTATAATCCCTCATGCCCTTCATCTCCCTCCCCCCCCATCAAAGTCCAAGTCTACACTTCATTTCCTCTTTGGCATCTCAGCAGATCTTAAACTCCGTGCAACAGGGAATACTTAAGGTGGGTTCAGGATGTGGAGGAAACTGTCACATTCCATTCCTACAGCTCAGGGCTCACAGATGCCACCACAAAGCAGCACTTTGAAGTCCAGCGGCCTGAGTCATCACATCCCACCGGCGCTTCACTTCCAGCCGCTTCCCCAGGGGGCGGGGGGGGGGGGGTCTGGACCTCAGGGTAAAAGCACAGGGTGAGGTGCCCGCACAGACCTACCTGCAGCAGCACGCCTGCGCAGGCGAGTCCCTCCTCCCTGGCGGCAGACGGTGGAAGGCACAGTCATGCTTCCCCCCAAGGTTATTTTGGACAGAGGAAGATTTGATAAAGCAGAAAGGGGACTAAAACAATTACTGGCCACACGTAAAGCAGACTTTTATGAAGCAGCACCTTGGTACACAGGACTGAGCTAAGGATCTTACGCTCATCACCGTCGTGCCCCAAAGGAGCGCTCCAAGGGGGTTGGCCTCAGGCCCTCCACCTTCTGATAAAGCTTCAGGTCTTTCAGAGCACTTCCAAGTTCACGACAGCGTCGAGTGGAAGGCACAGAGGTCTCCCACATACCCCCTGCCGCCCCATGTGCCAGGCCTCCCCCACTATTGCTATCCACCCCCTGGAGCGGTCCATTCGTGACAACTGCTGAGCCTCCACAGACTCATCATACTCACTCCAAGTCCACAGTCTGCAATGGGCGCACTTGGTGGTGTGCATGGTATGTAGGTTTGGACAGATATGTAACAACACGTGTCTACCGTTATAGGATCATACAGAAGTTTCACTCGCAGACTCTTTTTACATGAGAAACTCAAGGTTAGAAAGGTCAAGTGGTTCTCAGTGGGCCCAGGACTCAGCCAGAGTAAAGACCTGTTGGCCTCCAGCAACTGAACGGGCGGGGGGGGATGGGAACAGGGAGAGGCCTGGCCTTTTCCTCCAGGTGTGCTCTTTCTTGTCAGGAACAGGTCAGACCTATTTTTTTGTGGGGAGGGTTACAGTTTCCTCTTAAAAAGAAAAGCAAGATAGGGGACATTTTCTCACCCTGTACGTATTTAGTTCCACCTTAAGTCACGGCGTGACCATGTCGCGATCCCTGCCAGGCACCATAAGCGGCAAACCCGTCCTGAGAGCGGACAGCGGAGGGGCTGCCGCCGCAGAGCTGCTGACCCGGCTTTGGCAGGTCGTGCTTGTCGTGTCCCCGTGACGAACGGGATCGTCTGGAGGCGGCAGTTTTTTGTTTTGCTGTTGTTTAAATAATTGCTACGTGTTGCCTGAGACCCAGAACCTTCTCTCAGATTTATTTTTTAATTTATTTAATTGCCCCAAGGGCATATGTGTGTGTGTGTGTGTGTGTGGCCTAAACAGTGATTTTAATGGATAATTTGGCCATATCCAGAAACATTCTTTTGTGTGTACTACTTTGGAGGAAGGGATCGTGCTACTGACGTCTCGAAGGTCGTGGCCAGAGATGCTGCTGCACATCGCACTGTACTCGGGATGGCACTCTGTCCCCATGTGTCCATAACGACCAGTTTGACAAACCTAAGAACCATGCAACACTGTTTTCCATATTTGTGAGAACTTCAAAATTATATTATTCAACGTTATTCTTCCCCCGATCCAAACCCCTCCTGGCTAGCCCCTCGTGGACTTAAACATTGAGCAAGCAGTGAGCTCTTTCTGTATGCCCACGTTTCCGCTGGGTGGTGCAGAGACACAGAAGCGGGAAGTGGCTCCTGTCCTCATGGAGTTCACAGTCAGTAACTTAAGTCACAGGTAAACTCTGGTCCGGAACGTGAAGACGAAAGTCAACTGTAAGACCTCCACGGTCGTGGGACCAGGTTTATTTATTCCCTAAATTGGAGTGCACGCTTCCCTTTGGTAGAGGGGCCTGCGTCTGAGAGTGTAGCGATTCCGTGGGAGATGCATGGAACGAATATATCACTAATTTCGTGTTTTATGTCGCACAAGTGGGTGGACACTACAGCAGATTTTTGCTCTTCCACCTTAGCAGCTCTGTGTCCACGTGATATTCCTTCATGGCGGAGTAGCAAGTGTTTCAATTCACGATGGAGGAAGACACCAGGGGAAATTAAGAAATATTCTCTAGAGATCATTACGCTTCAGGAAAGTGAACAAACACATCAGGATGTTTCCTCCTGCCTCGTCTAGGGAATCCAGACTCAACAGCCCAACCAAAGGGCCCTTGCCAGCCCACACAGGGTTCCCATGTCGGGGCTGTCTGGGGCTGTCTGGGCGGAGCGCGGGAGGCACACGTAGGAGCTCACAGGTGTCCCGTTTGCTATGCAGGTGCGCTGTGGACCGGCATCCCACCGATGTGAACATCAATCTAACAATACTCTGTTCAGACTCCAATGGAAAGAACAGATCATCAGCCAGAATCCTACAGATAATAAAGGGGAAAGATTATGGTGAGTAGGGCATCATTTGTTGACTTTGCTTTAGTTTGGGTTTTAGCTTATTTTAGCATAGTAATTGAAGAGAAAAGGATTTCTGCAAAACGAGCACCAGGAAGGCAGGAAAACCCTGGCCTAACAGTGGTGAGGGGCGCGATGGCTCACTTGTCAAAGGTCCGGTGACACTTACAGTCCTGGGGGCTCCATTCAGGTAATTACCTTTCCTGCAGATTCAGTGGTGCTCTGTAGGTCCCCCAAATTTAATGGGGACCCTCAAAAGTGAGCGGTTTATATTTTGCTCCTCTGAGAATCAAGATGAATACCTTCTATTTATTTATCATGTAAGGGAGAACTTAACATCTTATATGCAGAGGAAAAAAACAAGTGTTAAAGGTAAGACATTTTTCAATAACCAGCATGCTAGTCTTAGCAATTAGGAAAATTATAAGTGTCTCAAATAAGAATGCAATTTTTAAATGTGGGGTTTTTTTTGAGGAAACAAAGTAATAGCCTTACAAAAACATGGTACTTACCCAAGTCATGGAAATGGGATGTTTAGACATGCTTTCTAATGCCATGACTACTACAGAGAGACACATAAAAAAGAAAATTGGATAATATGAAGTCAAAAATGCTTAACATTTTCAGTGTTTTAGTATTTACTCCTTTTGGGGGAAGCAATTTATCAAACATTATAATTCAGGAACATAGCAGATTAAGATTATTAAATTGATTGCTTCTTCTATTTACTCATTCAATACAGGTATTTATTTAGTACCAGGAGTGAAGCAGCTGTGTTCGTTCATGTGGTATTCAGTTATTTTACTTTTTTTTTTTCAGGTATTTTTGTGTGTGTGTGTGTGTTTGTGCATCCTATGAAAGCCAAAGCAAAGAATAATGTGGTTTGCAAAACAAATCTAATGAGTCACTAGCTTGATGGAGTTCCAGCTTTATTTGTCAATTAGGCTAAATTCTACAAGCACTTCAGTGGGGGTCCAACTGAAACTGGTCACAATATCGGCAGCCCTACATTTGTGTATTAAACACACATCCACAGAGCCCTGCCAAAAAGTATACATATAACCAATCACCATGATGCACGCTTTAAATATCTTGCAATTTTGTTTGTCAGTGATACCTCAGTAAAGCTGAAAAAACAAAACCCAAATAACCACGTGCACAGTGCTCACTACCTGCCAGCCCCGGTAGTGAGCACTGTACAAACTTGACACATTTCATGCACAGAGCAACCCCATGCGACAGGCACGGCTATTGGCCACACTGTCCAGATGAGGAAACTGAGACACGGGAGGTTACCTATCGCACAGTATACGCTGGCAGGGCCTGGATTTGAACCCCGGCAGCCTGACTCCAGAGTTTATGTCCTCAATCATTCGATTATTCCACCTCTCAGTGTACTAATTATTTAAAACCTACTTTTCTACTTTTTATATTATCGTATTCACCATAATCACACGGGGTGGGGGGAGGGCTTTAAAATTACTGTCTTTCCACAAAAGTTTGTGCCTGAAATACTGCCTGTTGATAGTGACTTATTGATACTAAGCACGTAGGGTACCTGATAAGGAATAAGAACTTTCCAGATTGATTTGCAGCTGGCTTTAGATCTTTCCCATGGCAATTAGCATACGTGTCTTCAGTATGTAACGACACGTGTGGAAAGATTCAGTGCCAGGTCCGTACGAAGGGGACCCAGAAGGAGTGGCTGCAGTGACTTTATTAGCCACATAACTCTATCAGTCAGCAAAACTATCAAATATTATAAATGAAGACATTACTTGACTAAGTGACAATGTCTTAAATGCACAGATGTGGTTTTTAAAGATCTTTTATGTACTGTGTTATTATTTTCATTAAAGTGTGGGCTTTTAAGTGGGTTATATAACGTAACAGAGGTCTGATACAATTTATTAAGTGAATGCAGAAGCATTCCTACAAAAACTTCAACATTAAAAAATTATTATTTTAAGTATTTTGGTTCTAAAGTAAATAACCAGGATTTCCAAAGTGCCCAGACTTGAATTTCATTGAAACCTTGTTATGTCTTGGCAGTTATAATAACAGCAAGCATTTCAGAGCAGTCCCACTTCATTTAGCTGTACATGGAGGTCCCTTATATGTTATACCATTTAGGCAACAGGAGTAACTATTTTCACCAAATATCTATAGCCAAGCTCTGTGTTGTGTACCACGGAACGCACTTCAGAGTTAAAGTAAATGACTGGAATAATTGTTGCGTGGCCTACATTACTTTTATCTAATGCTACTGTTTCTTCCTTTCCAGAAAGCGAGCCGTCACTTTTGGAATTCAAGCCATTCAGTAACGGTCCTTTGGTCGGTGGGTTTGTTTACCGAGGCTGCCAGTCGGAAAGGCTGTACGGGAGCTACGTCTTTGGAGACCGTGATGGGTAGGTGCCCCGATCCCGTGAAAGGTAGATGGTGTACCCGTTGATCGGTGGGCAGACCGCCATGCGATGTCCAGATGAGTGTCTCCCTTTGGGAGGCAGCTCCAGGACACACACAAATATTATTTATTTTTACTTCCACTATGCACGGTGGTTTCAAGAACTACCTAAGAGATGCTTTTTAAACAGACTTGATCAAGTTCATAAACCAATTTTGTGAAGCACAAAGAAGACTTCGGAAGGACTTTTCATACTATTTAGGCTCTTCCCTTCCTTTTTACCATACGTTTACCATGATAATGAGTAATTTGAAAAACTATCGTTTTACATGAGTTCATAAATATTTTAAAGATCATCTTGGAAGGCTGAGAATTTTTGCTTTTGCCTGACTTTCAGAACTTCCGGCAAGTTAATTTGTGTCTATTGGTAAGAATACTCCAGAATGAAGTTTTAGCCTGAAGTTTAGAGGTCACCTTGTGGATGATTTTAAGAAATTTTTGGGATGAAACCCCAGTTAAGAATTTTGTTTCCCGAGTCGCTGCTGGCATTCGGGCCAATGGCAGAGCTCATCTGCTAGTGGCTACAAGGACCGAGAAAAGCAAACTGACCCGCCAGCCTTCCCCTGTCCGTTTCTCTGACTGATCGCTCAGCACGGAGTCTAGTCCTGCAGAGAACATATCATCCCTGGGTGAAGGGGAGAGCTTTTCTCAGACACAGGTACTTCTAGTGCGCCCCGCCAACAAACTCTCCTCCTCGAGTACTTTCTCCCCACGTGGGAATTTCACAGTATTCACACACGTTATGGGCTATATACTGTTTTTCTCTTTAGAAGCCAGGCCTGTGGCACAACAATTATGTATTGAGCATTATTTTAAACATCTGATTGGTTTTTTTTTTAAGCAAAGTCACATGGGTTTATGGCATGTTTGTGTTGTAGGAATTTCTTAACTCTCCAGCAAAGCCCCGTGACCAGGCAATGGCAAGAAAAACCACTCTGTCTCGGCAACGGTGCTTCCTGTCGGGGGTACTTTTCCGGTCACGTCCTGGGATTTGGAGAAGATGAACTAGGTACTGTACATAGTGTCCCTATCCAGTTCCTTTCTCACCCCCCTGCTGACAGGTGGGGTCCTGCTCAGAAGAATAAGCTTAACCCTCTCGTGCTCCGTTCGCTGGAACTGTGACAGCAATGGGCCTGCTGTAGAGATTTCGGGTGGTCCAGTTTTGTACTCTCAATAACCTGTCTCAGGGGCGGGTGGGTGGGCAGGGGAAGTGTGGGTCTTCACATCTTTTTTTTTTAAGATTTTATTTATATATTTATTTAGAGAGGGAAGGGAATAAGGAGAGAGAGGGAAGAAGGGAGAAGGAGAGAGAGAGAGAAATATCAATGTGCGGTTGCTGGGGGCCGTGGCCTGCAACCCAGGAATGTGCCCTGACTGGGAATCGAACCTGTGATGCTTTGGTTCACAGTCTATGCTCAATCCACTGAGCTACGCCAGCCAGGGCACATCTTGTTTCCAATATGAAAGTAACCAATGCAGGAACATGGGAGGCAGGAACAAAAAGATAAGTTCTGAGTCCTGAAGGGAAAAATTTTAAATGTCTAGTGATATTTTTTGATGCATCTGAGTCCTTTGTTTATGTTTTTATCTGAAAACCTTTCTATTTAACCACGTCTCTTGGAATAAATTAAAATTTTGTTGCAATCTGAATTTCACCTTATCCTTTATTTCCTAATTTTTAAAAAATTTTTGCCCACTGGGGCACAAAATTTGTGCAAAATAATCTGTTTGTAGACCTGCTTTCAACGGAGTGGAAGTTATCTCTTTGTTGATGATCTACGAGATAACATAAATTTATTTGTTGGTTTGTCATCAAAATGTCTACAAAAAGAAGTTGAAATTGGAATGTGATCACAGTGGAAACGCTACTAATTTTAAACTTCTGAGATGAACGTCACTTTCATAGGACCCCCTTTAAACAAACATCATGACCCCCACAAGCAGACATGACCACTGTGCCCCTTTCCATCGGAGACGGGTTTCTCGGTGATGAGCAAGAGTTGTGTTTCCCATCTAAATCTGAACATTTTCTCTAAAACTGCAGATTTGGATTCCCTATAGCAAACAGAGGATTCATCAGAAATAGTTGCACGCCACTTACTTAGGTTAACGAGGACCTCAGATCAGATTCCTGAAATGCATAACATGTATTTCAGAGCCACAAGGATACAATGACTCAGAGAAGAGAAATCCGGTCTGTCCTTTTCTTGTTCCAGCATTGAAAGCATTTTACAATTAACTTTCCCTTTTATATTCTCCTGCCCCACTCATAGGAACCAGAAAGATACCCCTTTTATGTAAGTTTATGGAACCTAAACTTCATTGGCATACCGTTCATTTAAAATACAAACTAGGATTGAGTTGCTTGTGGCAGAGTTAGAGATGACTATTTGGGTGTTGTGACTGAGGCGTGGAGATTTCCCCCGTCCCTGCTACAGATGACTCGCCATCAGTGCCCCTTTCAGCATCACTGGTCCAGACACCCAGGGGTCTGTCTGTCGCCCTGACTGCTGTGTCGGGAGCAGAACCAATGAATGAGGCACACGCAGTCCCACTGTCCAAAAGCCACAACGTCGTGTGTGCTTCATAATTAAATGCACTTTCACTGAATTATGCTTTAATGTGAACTTGGGCTTAATGAAGAGCCATATCAGAAAATGCGTAAATTTTTGCATTTTTTGAAACAAAAATTATTGACTGTTTTTTCTATGTGTTTTTTTTTAACTATAAAATCAGAATGGGTTTGTTGAAAGGATCAGATGAGGTAAACTATCTAAAAAGTACTTGATACAATGAATGTTAACTTGTCACTTACATTGCTTTTTATCTTCGTTTTTACTTTTTCTGTTGAGTCTGTGCTTTTCATGTAAATCTATACATCCTTTTCAAGGGTAAGAAAGTAGTAGGGTTTGCTTAATACACAATAATAGCGTGGAATGGAGAAGTACTGACTAAGTCAAGGGCAATTTCATGAATGAGAACCAAATACAAATGTTAAAGCCCTGTAGACATGTACTCATAAGTACGGCTTCTGACTCCCCGTGCATGCGACCAGCCCCAGTCACTGAGTTACATGAAGGTGCTGGTGATCAGCTAGAGCGGGTGCCTCCTGCCGGGCCGTCCCTCCAGTACCTTTCATCGCCGTGGGCACAGCCTCGCGCCAGGAGTCAGAGCTGGGATTGAGGGTCAAGGTCTCTCTCCCTCTCGCTTTCCAGATTTTTGTTTTGTTTTAAAAAGCTGAACATTAAAAAGAAGTACCCCAATTCTGTCAGGCCTCAGATTATCAATTAACAATGGCAATGTTGGTGATCACACCTTTCTGTCTCGGGCAGAATGAATCGAGATAAAACTTGCCATTCAGCGCTCATTCGTGCAGTGCTCTGTTCTGGGTGTTGTGGATATAGCAGCAGATTAAAAAAATCGAAACCATTGTCATGAAATTTATATTCTAAAGGAGGATATTAAAAATAAATTAAAAATACATGTATACTGTGTCCCAATCAGCAGTAAGTGCTTAGGAGAAAAAAACTAGTTGTGAAGAGGGACAGAGATTGCCGGAGGCTGGGACCGCACAGTTTTCAATAGCGCAGCCAGGACAGGCGGTACGTTAGCACAGACTTGAGGGAGGCAGGTGGAAGGCGAACCTACTGGTGATCTGCAGGGAGCGGGGCCTGAGGCAGGAGCCCGGGACAGGAACGTGCCTCACGTGTTCAAGGCCAAGAGGCCAGCGAGGCTGGAAAGGAGGGAACAAGGGGGTAAGACATGGCAGATGAGGTCAAAGCAATTCGGGGGGACAGTGCAGGCCACTCTCAGAACTTACTTTTCTCCTGAGAGGGATCAGAAGCCCTCGGAGGATATGGACACAAGCGTGTGGTCCAACCTAGAGGGTCTCACTGGCTTTACAAGACGCACCGCGGCCGGTACATCGAGAGCAAACGTGGAAGGACAGGACAGCAGCAGGGGGATCAGTTCAGGGGCTGCTGCTGCAATCCAGGCAAGAAGCTACTAGCTGCCTGCACCGGAGCAGCAGTGGGAGGCGAAGGGAAGTGAGCGAGATCCGGGTGAGCGTGAAGGTGGACGTGTGAGACGGGCATGGTCTTCAGGCAGGTGGTCTTCCTGAGGTGGGCTGTGTGTGTGTACACACACACACACACACACACACGTATATACACATGCGCATACTATACATATAAAATACCTGCCCTGGCTGGCACGGCTCAGCGGATGAGTGCCGGCCTGTGAATCGAGAAGTCGCTGGTATGAGTGATTACGTGCCTGGGTTGCGGGCCAGGTCCCCCCAGTCAATGCTTCTCTCCCTCTTTTTCTCTCTTCCTTCCCCGCTCTCTAAAAATAAATGCACAAAATCTTAAAAAGTAAAATAATCTGCTAGGGAACAGGAAGTAAAGCCTTGTAATACTGTGGATTAATTCATCGTATATCTCTCTACATAGGGGAAGTTTACATTCTATCAAGTAGTAAAAGTATGACCCAGACTCATAATGGAAAACTCTACAAAATTGTAGATCCCAAAAGGTAAGATTTTGTTTTATATTTGTTTAAGTCAAGAAATGGTATTCTCCGCATTGTTTTTTGCACATTCAAATTAGTGACGGACAAATTGCAATTAGCAACCAAGAAAGATGGCTGCTCCTGCCCTGTCCGCAGACTCTGTGTGGCCCTGAGAGTCCATGAGGGCCAGGCTGGGCTGTGCCGAGACCTAAAGGCCTATTGCAACCCCATATTCACGCCATTCTTGTTGCCATCGGGGAGCAGCGTTATGCTTGTGGAATGAGTCCTCGGTTAAACGCAGAGGAGGACCTGGATTTGTGGGGAGGTGGCTTTAGCTCTCCTCGTGGGAGACAATGAACCAACCCTCCCTGTCTTTCGAGAAAACTAGAGACATGCTGGCAGATGTTACAGCTGCCTACTATGATTTTTGTTGGGCAGTCGGGGGAAGTTATTTTGGCAGTTCAACATCTGAGCCTCATTTCCAGACTGTCTGGAAGCTCAGAGCTCGCAGGCAGGCCTCTGTGAAGAGACAAACGAAAACTGAAAGAGTGTTTTGTTATGTACCTCAGCAGAAAGAAGATCTGAAGGTTATAATCCTTTAAAGAGTATATTGACCCCTCCCCTGGCCTCTCCACCCACCCATCTCTCTCTCTCTCACACACACACACACACACACACACACACACGATGTTCAAATGATCTTGAATCATAATGAGTCAGTTGTGAATTTCATGGATAAAACCGGACTATCGGAAGCCACTGCAATTATGTACTAACAGGTACTAGCCGCAAGTTGAGGAACCACTATTACAGAACCTACATATCCTCACAAACACGACTGGTGTTGAACTCCAGGAGCTATCGGAGCCCAGCGACACCATGCTGAGAATTTCAAATTAGTGCTGCACTAACTTATCTTCCTAGACCCATCAGCAAATCTCAATCCCTGAATTTCAAGTCTTTTAGAAAAATAAATTCTAGAAATCTAAACAAAGTTTACTAAAAGCAGTCATTTAGCTCTGTTTTTAAATTATTTGCAAGTTGTAAGTTGTGTACGTTTTTCTGGAAAAGTCTCCGACTAACACAATGGAGATTCTTGTCCTTTTACCACACCACAAACCACTGTCTTTTCTGAGAAAAACAGAGGTTGCCATTGGCCCTGCAGAGCAAAAAGAAGACTACGCAATTCTAGACAGTGTCCCCACAGCATCACACGCAGGCGTTGATCACGCAGTGATAGCGTTCCTCTCTAATGGTGCCCGTTTTCAGTCACTGTCAGGAAAGGACCCGTCTGTGCCCTGTGGGGGCTGGGGGTGGTGGCGGGGTTCTCTTCTTCCTTGAGTATGAAACCAATGTTCTCTTTGTGAAAAGCAAAGTAATGAATGAATATATATATATATATATATATATATATATATATATATGTATATCAGACTCCTCTGTGATGGTGGAAGTTGGCAATGCGAAGAGTGAAATTCAAACTAATGTTAATTCATAAAAATGTCATCAATCTAATGAGTCATAATGAGGCCTGGGGATTTCACTCCCATCTCATGCCATTAGTTTCAAAATAGCCATTGTTTTTCCATTACGTTTGTCAGAGCCGAGCTGCTTGTGCAAGCTTCCTGGTCGTGGTGCAATTAATTCTCCCTCCTCCTCGAGAAAGTCTTTCCCTCTTCGTCTGGATTGTTTAGTCTGCCGGTGGTGCACCGAGGTGAATTTTACACCTTCAACCCATTATTAGGGTCTAATTACCAGGGTTGCCAGGAGGGACCTTGGCTTTGCGATCCGAGGGCCGCCGCTAGGAGGGTGGTCTCGGCGTGACATACCTGAAAGGCCTGGCTTCCTGCTCCGGTGCCTGCGTCTGCTGGGCCGTGTCACGCGCGGGCCAGGGTTAAGATGCATGTTTGGTTTTCGGAAGGTGGGGGGAGGGACGGAGTCCCCAAGACACCGTCCTTGTACACGGGCATGGGTGGACCCTTCGAAATGAAATCGACTGTAAGAAAACCAGTGTTTTCATAAACATTGGTTGGGGGCCTCACGTTGTTTTGATTTGGATGCCAGCGTTTGTTATTATAGTATTTCTGCCTAGATGAGTTGGACTTCTCTAGAAGTACACACGTGAGTGTCTGTGAGCGGGATTATTTTGAAAACACAAGCTAATTACTAGCCTCCCAGTGTTCAGGACGCCTGCCTGAAAGCAAAGTGTTTTTCTAAAACTTTTGAGGGAGAAATGAAAGAAAAGGCCTCATCGACTGAAAAAAAAACAATATAGAGACATTTCTTGTTACATCAAAAATCTATCTCAAATTAAAAGCTTAGGTTAATTGTATTCTTGTGGAGGAGCCGGATTTGTTAGAATAATGTTTTCAGAGTAAGTTGCAAACATCAATTGACTCCTGGCCCTGGAAGAGAAGAATGACAAATTATGGAATTTTTATATTCTATATGAGATGTCACGGAAGTGACTTTCTTACCAGAGGATTGGATGTTTCTAGTTTTCCCTACACAACCCCCCCGCCCCGGCCCCGCAACACACAAACCACTCACTCACTCACATTCAAGAAAGATGAGGGAGTTTACAAACCATTTGCAATATTCTTAAGCCATTTTGGGGAAAGCGGGCAAGGTTCCAGCAGCATCAGCTCCGCCCGTGAGGACAGTGCGGTGCGAGGCTCCACATTACATAACCATTCACATTAATGTACAATCGTTTACATGAGGAGTGGGCCTACTTCTCAGAAAAGGGTGGCCAGATAACCTCTTATAAAAACCAAGTGCCATTACTGAACATGAAAAAAAAAAATTCAATGAGGATACAACCAGGTTTTCTAAGTAACTTTTGCAAATTCTTAAGTAACTTCATTAAAACCGTGGAGTTACTTAAGGAAAACCCAAAAAAAGGGAGAATTTTGCCTCCAGGTTGTAACGTTGAACTCTTCCCCAGGAGGGTCTTCCGTGGCAGAGCAGTCATATCTCACACCGCGTGGGGTGAAGCCCCAGTCCATACCCAGGTGCCAGCTTGTTGGGCCAGCGCACCGCCCGTCCTCCCCCCCAGGTCTGTGGTCCTGGGTCCTGCGTGCCCGATCTGGGGTGCTCTTTCCGCCAGCAGCTCCAGAAAGCAGATCCCAGGACAGTGAGCACGAGAGCTGAGGAGTCATTTTAGTTTCCCTCAGCAGTGCAGCCCGAGACAGGTCACGGGTAGGAGCGTGTCTCCCCCAGTAGGACCGGGAGTCAGTTGGTGTTGTCTCCGAACCTCCTTCGGCCAGCCCCTGCGCGCAGTGATTTTACCGCAGCGCACCGCTTTGCCCGCTGGTAAGGTGCCGGCGATCACGCTGCCCTGCCTCCTCCCTGCAGCGTTCTAGGAAGATCATTAAATAATCCATTTAAAAGATACTAAATTCTTTAGTATTGTTGGTGTGCATTCCATGCCAAGAAGAATGACTTTCAGGTGATCTCCTTGACATCTGAGGTTGTATTAGTTCCAAATTAGGGTAAAAGTGCCCGCAGAGCTAGCTGTAAAGAGCTCCTCACACCTAGTGTCTGAACACCCAAAAGCCCACCAGCAGCACCCTTGGGTGCTGGATGCTTCTGAAATCGTTTGAGTCAAGCATCGCTCCTGCGGGATAGAAACCAACGAATTCTAACAGAGTTGTGAATTCCCCAAGCTTTTTTGTTAGACCACACCCTTTCTTGCACTTTTGACAAAGATGCTTTCATTTTTGTTTCAGATGACTGTAAACCAGATGACTTTTTTTCTTTTTTAATGTTTCTGGGATTGTTTCTCCGGGAATTTGTACAACAGAATTCTTCATCACGTTGATTTCATTACCACGTCCGTAGTGCGTTTTAACCTACTGCCTATCCGTTCCCCTGCCAATCCTGGCAGACCATTCCCTGAAGAGGCCTATAAATGCACAGCGCGAATTCCAGGCTGGAGAGGTCATTCCACAGAAAGGTGGCACCTCCAACTCCTGGGTGACCCGTATCCAAAACGGCTCCTCCTGCCTCCTCCCTGTGGCTCCCCTCCAAGGCCCCTCTCACTGCCCTTTGTTTATTTTCTTAAAATATCTTCATCCTACTCATTATTATATTGGATGCTGAAGAGGGCCGGGTTTTGTGTGTGTGTGTGTGTTTTTTAATCGCTCCGTCAGAGGAAGTCGGTGCTGTGTGTCCCCTGCATGTGTCGCAGGGACCCGGCAGGCAGCTAGCTCGGCCATCCCAGGGAAAGTCGTGCACAGCAGAGAGGCGTTAGCCCCACAAGCCCGTCGCGTCCCCGTTCATCAGTCAAAGTTTTATGCACGTGGCCCCCCTAGGTTGATAAATCCCCACCGTGCCTGTTGACCCAGCTGCCAAGTCCTCTTGCCGCGGGCGGTGTTTTCATGGCCACCCTGACGGTAACACAAACTGTTTAGCAGCTCCATTGACCTTCCAGCTATTAACAGGGACACGGGCCCCACCAGGGACTAGTTTTCAAACATGACAGAATTTCTTAGCGCTGGAGGTCATGAACAAGCCTGTGCCCTATAAAAATCCATTCAGCACGGTGGGTTGGAAGTCAGTCGAAATGACGAGGCAGCACGTTCCACAGTTTCGCTACTATGATTTTCCTGCGTAGCCTGTAACGAAAAGTGGATACATCTGCCAGCTTATCTGTTATTCTTAAGGGGCTGTAGTTTAGTTGTGGTGGTGCACAGGGCCTAAAAAACTAACAAATCCTTTCTGGGCTGTAATACAGCATCTGAAATTTTAAAGGTATGTTACAGAAAAATAGGGCGAGAGTGAAGTAAAAATTTCTAACAAATGGATGAGCACGCATATAATACATATAGTAATGGCCTAAGCATAACTGGAATTTTTTTCATGCTTTACCAAGATTTGCATATGTTTACGTATGAACCATACTTATGTGACCCATGCAGTGCTGTGTGGGACCACCACCACTCATTTCAAAGTAAACAGAAAAGATCATGTAATGTTGTAACTTATGAAAAAATTATTTAATGGTCATGTTCTTTTTAAATGGTTATATAATTCCTCTTATATGGATGTTATAGGCTCTCTTAAACTATCAATTTTAAATGTTGGAATATCAGTTCCTAGAGTAATTGTACAGCTTGCTATGAAAACGTGATGGAATTCCCACTTATAAATGGTATTTGTTAAAAAGACATAAAATGGAGAAATGGGAGTAGTGAAGGATATATTCTCCAAAATAAGACTCATTTGTTAGAGAGTCGAAGCCTCTGAAAAACATTTCTTTGAATCCCCGTGTTTCTCCCTGGCCTGGTGGAAGATAACAGCATGGAACCTTCTGGACACCCCACACCTCTGCTGTGGGGCGGCGTGTCGCCAGATGCTGCAGCGCTGGAGACTCAGGCAGCTTTTATCTCCCGTAAAACAGCCACAGAAATTTGTAAAAAGATGTTTTCTAGAAGAAAATGTACTTTTTAAAGAAAAAAAACTACCTATTAGCATCATTTTTTAAAGCTAATTCATTTTAGTCGAGTTAAAAAATCGGTTGCTGCAATGACTTGCTTTTGTCAACATGGACAAATGAATCAAAAAGTGTAACATCAAAATTTGGGACTTTAGCTTCATGTCGTTTATAGTCCAGAAAACCTGCTTGAGAAAGGATCTACTGTGTGCGTTCAATCCCATTTAACAAAAATCCGTTGGATGCCTATGTAGTGTTCTCCTAGCTCCCATGAGTGTCAGTGGTTGAAGGAGACAAAGTACTTTGGTGGCTTACATGCCGTCGTTCTAGAACACCCCTCAGTCCACGCTGATGGCTCCCTCGTCTGTATTCCCGTGTCACTTCAGCTGCGCCCGTATCACAGCAGAGCTCGCACTGAGTTCCAGTTCTGTGTCTGCACATCCACCTCCCCCGTGGCGTCTCCGTGAGGGGCGGGACTCCGTCTTGTTTATGTCTCACCTCCACGAAGAGCACAGCACGTGCCCGCCTAATGACAGGTCTTGACGAGGATGGAATATGTAGGTTTTGTCCTCAGAAAGACTTCATTCCAATGGGGGAGGGGGAAAAAAGCATAACCCATTCTTTAAGAGACATCAAGTCCTATGAGAAATGGGCAATGTTTTATATAGTTTTCAGGTGAATGCATTCTCAATAGAATAATAGTTTAAAAGAGAAAGAAAATGTATTGGACCTGCTAAGTGAGGAATGTTTGTTGTCGACTTCATAAAAGAAGAAAAAGATGATTGCTCCAGGTATTCAAATAAAACTGTATGTGGCAGCCACACCATCTTGTATAATATATGAGCGAAAGTAAACAGGCCAAATATAAAATAATATCACCCGTAGGTAGATAAACATTTACTAAATCTTAGGCAGAAGAACAAGTTGGATTCCTCCCAAATCTGTATTTCCATGTATATGAATGCTTGATCAAAAGTAGCCGAAGCATCCAGCTGGACGGTCAGCGTGCAGACGAGGATCGAGGAGCCGCCCCAAGGGACTGCTCCTCAGCACCGGGTGCTGGTTCTCGTGTCCGACTTCCTTTCCCCGGTGGATTCCCACGTGACGCAATGCCCCTGTACTCTGAGGCAAGCAGGCAACACCTCCTGGTTGTTGTCCTTTAACCAGAGCCACCTACACTGTTGATCTAAATGGGGTCTTGTCCTTAGATTCATCTGCCCGGGCGTATAAGCCACATGGTCGAGTGCACACGAGTGACGCGCCTCCGTGTTTTGCATCCCACGTAACATGTAAGATGTTTCTGACACACTCGGCTTCCAGGTCTCCCTTCTTGAATGAGTCAGAGAAAGGGCAGGCGAGTGAATAACAAGTGAGACTGGATAAGCAGAATCTCAGTGACCAGTCAACGTTGAACGACACCTGTGTGCTCAATGCCCCTTGGTAAGTGATCACGGCAGGTGACTCGGGGACTTCCTGGCTCCTCGGATGGTCCCAAATGCCACCACCATCTCACAGAGGGAGAATTGCCGAGGAGGAAGAAAGAGGGCACACTTGAGCGAGGCAACCACAACGAGGAGAAGGCAGAGATGATGCCCCCACTTTGCTCAGCACAGCCGTCGGGCGCCCTCACCCCCGGAGAGACCCCCTTGGGAAGCACGTGAAGCTATCCGTTAATGTTTTCGGAGTGACAATGTGCTCAGTCCATGGAATGCCTTAGGGACCTTTCTGGAAACGGACCGTTTCTACATTTCAATAAGCAGTTGAATGGATGTAAGGGAGTTTTCCGAATTGTCACGTTAGTTGTAAAACACAGTACTTTCAACTTAGATTGGGGCTTTAATGGGCAAGAGAAGCTAAAGCAGTCGCTGTGTATTTTTAATATGGTTTTGAGTCATGGCAGAAACAGCCTGAGGTCAGCCCCCCAATTATGATTGCCATTCACAGTGCCCATAGGGGCAAAACTGGGGAAGACTGCGTCTCAAGGGCCTGATTACTCTCATCTCTCAGAAGGCTACACCGTTTACCCCTTATGGTGGTTCTGACCTATAATTATCACCTTCTCCGATACGGTGCTTAAGGAATCCAGCTGCTCTGGCCGCTCTAATGAGGGCAGTTTGACTGGTGAGGACGTTCGTTTGCATTCCTTTCTCACCAGCCTGCGGCACGGGGAGCAGGGACTGATGGAAAGCACACCACCACCCACCCATCCTCTCCCAAAGATCGCCAGGTGGTGAGGGGTTCGGAGCCCAGCGCAGCCTGAAAGACGGCCTCTTCCTCCTGACACAGCTGGAACCGTAAACCTCTTCTGAAGGCACCTGGATCCCTCTCTGAATGACGGCTGTCACAGGGCAAATAAAGGGAAATCTGTGACTTTTTACTCGTCAGATGTTTCTCTTTGCTACCAAGGGCATTGTTTTTCTGCCTAGGAGGACACAATGTTAAAATTTTAAACGTGTGTGTGTGTATATATACACACTCACCTATGTGCATATCAGTCTTTACATGAGGAGTTGAAATTTTGAGGCGATAGAACACACACACACACACACACACACACACACACACGCAGTGGGATAGCCCTTCAAGAAACTCAGCCTAAAAAAAGTATCTGAAAACGAATATAAAACTGAAACAAAAATGGATTCCCAAGCTTTTTAGGCTACGAGCATTCATTTTGATGAATACCTTCAGCTGTGCGATATTGTCAACTAGGTCCGTAACAAGTGAAACCTATCTCCGATACTATTCCTAAAAATTGTTGTAGATCTGGGGGGAAAGTTTAAAAAACAGCTATATATATATATCTTTATTTTTAAATTCATAATTGCTAGAAGTTCTTAGCCACTAAATGTAAAATATCAATATAACTACATTTTTTAATCTATTTATTTTGATCAGATCAAGTTTTTTAGGCTGTCTGTCACGTTCTCTCTGGTTGAAAACCGGTTGGTTGGTTTTCCATTCTTAGAAAGTTGTCAAAAAGAAAGGGAGTTGCCGATCTCTCTGAGTCACTTCAAAGAACGGTCTGCTTAGAAAGGAAGAGAGATGCTTTGTCAGCTGCAGAGTCATCGATTTCCTCCTTGCGTTGACTTTCACCCACAATGCACTCTCCACCGCTGTCTCCCGATGCAGACCTCTGGTGCCCGAGACGTGCCGAGTGGCCGTGCAGCCTGCCCAGACGCTGGCCTCCGAGTGCTCCCGGCTCTGTCGCAACGGCTACTGTACCCCCACAGGGACCTGCTGCTGCAGCCCAGGATGGGAAGGGGACTTCTGCAGGATCGGTTAGTATTTCCCTTGTCCCCGGGAAACCCGGGGCATCGGATGGTCCTAAGGGACTGGAGAGCTTGACACCAAGTTATTTCTTCTAGAATTATCGAGTGTTCAACCTTCAGTCATTTCCAGTAATATCAATGCTCGGTCTGCTCCAGAAGGAGTAAATGAAATCTTCCCCGTTTTCTTAATGCAAACAATTCACGTACATAAGCTAGACATAAACATAAAAGACGTTTAAATAAGTGCATCCTTTCAAAAAGTAGAAATTGGAAGCAGATCGTCTGTCTAGGCTCTCAGTCCTGGCTGGGAGATTCCCCACCAGCCAAGGACCTTCTGCAGTGTCCGCGTTCTCCCAACACCCCACAAATGCCTCTCTAACGTAACTGCTTGCTCTCTGGCTACAGTGCACCAAAACCAGGGTATTCGGTGGGTGTCATTGAATAAAAGGGGGAAACGCAATTACCTAGAGGCATATGTGAGATTTTTAACTCCTTTTTCCCACTCCCCTGTAAACCATCAACCAGGTGTCAGGAGAGGCATCCCAGGATTCCTCTGACCTTCACCCAGGATTTTCCTCATTCACATGCAGTGATGTTCAAATTCTACTTGGTGTGAAATTAAAAATAAAACAAAAAACCCTACATAAATGTAGATACTTGGAGTTGAAGAGGTATATGCTGAAAATGCATTTTCGGGAGAAATAGTTTTTCCCTTTCCATTGTCTCCATATCGGGTGTTGGGTGTGAACAAAGCCTATTGTGGTAATCGTTTCACAATCTGTTTAGTTTCTGGCATGCAGAGCAGCACGCCAGAAACTCGAAACTCATACAGTGATGTTTATCAGTTATTTCTCAAGTAAGACTGGAAAAAAGTTGCCATCAGGATAAAAAAGTGCATTTTCAACAACCAGCATATGCATATTGCTTACAAAAACTTTGTATCTCTGCTATATCAAATATTACAGTATCTCTTGCCAATGAAAATGAAAAGCCCCATTCTTAATTCATAAATTTTATCTTTTTTAATCCTAAACATATATTTGTTACAGAAAAGTCACAACCCTAACTTGTCTACTTGATACGTTGTGTGACAAAAACTAACCAACATTTAAAGCCACATAGACAGTCTGCACTGTAAGCTTAAATTGTGTCAGTATTCATAACACTGCCTGATTGATTGATACTATGGTTACATATCCAGCAAAGAGCTATCAGAATTAAATCCAACAGAAATTAAGTAATTACATTATTTAAAACAAATGCTCGCACTTTATATGTCCCAGTCTGTCTCCCTTTTCCTTAGTTGACAAAAAAAAAAAAAAGAATCAGTGTTCAGTTACACCACTACTCTAAATTCTGACACTGTGCTTCCCTCTGCCCGACACCCCCCCCATGCCTGACAGTATGTGCTCTCTCTGTTCCGTTTATGTGGTGTCCATTGTGTTTTCTTCCTCACTTTGCGTTTTGCCTAACTTCTCAAACTACTAGATAACAAGTATTTATTGAGTGCCTTCTAGCACGAGTATGTTAAAACTGAAGGTAAACAAATTTTTTGAATATGGGTGGTATTAGATACACACCATAACAGATATTAATAATATAATAATAGGTGATATAAATGAACACAGATATTGTCTGAGTTAACATGGAGTTCTATTTCAATAAAAGTACTTTAGTTTTTCCACACAATCAATTTAAATAATTTGAATATACAAGATAAGCCAGAACCATTTTATAAAAGTAAACCGTTCATATTTGTGACCCAAGCTAGAATTTTATTCCTGTACTCACATAGCTGACTCATCTCCCACAAATTCAAAGGAGAAAAAATATCCGTTTCCTTTTTGTTCTTCTTTTGGATTTTGATTAATGCATTTGCAAAGATTAAAATGACCCTGTCCCCTGAACCCACAAGGAAATGCATTCAAGGAATTTGACTCTGCCTGCAGGGCTACCCGCCCAGATTTAGCCTATCAGTAAAAGCCGGTTAAGTTACAGACTGGCTCTGCTCTCTCCATCCCAAATCTTCGCCCTCTCACCCATACTGTGGTGATCCGGTCCTTCTGTGCTGAGCGTCTCTGCTGTAGAGTAGCCCTGAAAAGGACTGCAAAGAACGCCCTTGGCTGGCCAATGGCACTGACCCAGGAAGGACCTTCCACGTGCACAGAGGCCTGAGCCGGGTCCCTGCTGGGAGCGTGGAGGAGGGTCCTGGGGAGTCCAAATGGTAGACACTCCATCTAGCCGGTCAGTCAGAACTGACTGCGCCTTTACGTTGCATTGGAGATGCTCAAGTGGGGTGGGGGGGCTCTCTCGTGGGCCCGGCCCTCTTCACCTCGAGGCCTGGCCTGGTGGAGTGGGCACAGAGCTCTGCTTGGAAGGCCCTGCGCTGGGACTGCCCTAGTGGAGCCGAGAGGTGAAAACTGAAATCCCCGTTTTAAAGAGTCAGTTACGCAAGGGATTGAACGTGTTTCCGTGATCTGTGCTTCTGCGGAAACGTCTCTGGTTCTCGGCTGAGGTCCGCCCCCGAAGAACCGTAGGTCCGAGAGTACTCTTCCCGCTTTGTCTGTATTACCTTTCGGATCCATTTGCGTCTGGCTCCCACCTTCTTTCCCTCCCTTCCCTTACTCCTCAAATGTGTGGGCTGTTTCTGACACACACACAATGGGAGTGTGATTTCATTGCTTTCTCCCCCCCTCCCAGCAAAATGCGAGCCGGCATGCCGCCACGGTGGAGTCTGCATCAGACCCAGCAAGTGCCTCTGCAAGAAAGGGTACCTCGGCCCCCAGTGCGAACACGTGGACAGAAACGTCCGCCGAGTGACCCGGGCAGGTATTCTTGACCAGATCATTGACATGACATCCTATTTGCTGGATCTAACAAGTTACATTGTATAGTTTCTGGGACTGTTTGGAAGATTCCTTTCCAGTGGGCATTTATTTTTTATCCTGTCATTAAAAAGAAAGACTGTTACCCCGCTACACACTCCTGTGATTTCATTTTTCTTCTCTTAATTTAAAAGTAGTTTCCAGAAACATGCGGAGTCTGTGTGTGTGTGTGTTGGTGCATGTGTCCGCATGTGCACGGACACGCACCCACTCACAACCCCAGGACATGGGCGTGGTTGCAGAACAGATGGGTTTTAAAAATATATATTTCCTCGTGTGGAGCAATTTACACAGAAATTCCACTGTAAATTGATAACGGCATTTTTATGTCACCAGAAGAGATTATTTGACTTCCCAGGAATTTTCTGTCTGTAATAACTAAAGTCAACTTTAATGGAGTTTTGAAACATTACCGTGCAATCTGATGGAACTAATAAAAAAGGCAATATTTTTATATTAAAGGACTATAATGTGAGAATGTTTCAGAACTCCCTGATGGATTTCAGTGTGGGCAACTTGATATAAAATTGTAATCTTCGTTTTTATCATTGTATCCAATTACAGAATGTTATGCACTTACCTTTTTATTGGCAGAGAAATCTGGTTACTCTAGCTTAATATCAAGACTGTTTTCAAGTGTCTTATAATTAAATCATAACAGCATATTCTAAAACCAATCTTCCTAAAAGGTCTGCTTTTATTGTATATTTTATTTAACAATAGGCACTGGGTTTGTGTTACATATTTATATTTTTAATTTTATTTTTATAATATAGACATCACCTAGATGAAACACCTTTACCCTGTCCTGTAAAATACTAAAGTTACATTTTTCACCAACTTAATTGGAAAGAAGGGGAGTGAGAAAGCAGACAGCCTTAAAGGTGCTGTGGATCTAACCTAGCAGTGGATCCTTGGGCCGACATGTAATCACTAACGACGGATGAAAAAGCAAGAAAACAGCCAATCCTTATAAAATTCCAGCATTACACGTTGGTCAAGTGCTTTTCACCGTAGCGAGACTGTCAGTGGATGTGATTAGAATGTCACAGATGGCACACTCGGTCGCACCCCACTGGACAAGAACTCACTCGTTTTTAGCAAATCTTGGCTGTGCTAAGCGGTCACTTGGACACATTTTTAATACAGTAATTCTTGCCAAATATGACTCGTGTAAATGTTCCTTCAGGACTCAGTGAAAACCCTCCGTGGTGAATGTATGAATCAGTTTCTGTAAATGTTCTGTCCAGGTTTTGAAAGCAATGCTATGTTCTAACTTACAATTGCAAAACATCGGATAGACAGTTCTCTTAACGGTTTTCAAGGCCAGCTCTCCGTGTTTGGATTGTGACAAAATTGTAAGGCCTCTTTGCACTACTGAAAAAAAAACCTGTCGTGACACACGCACACCCTCTGTAGGTTTCCCTTCAGTGAACAGCAGTCCCTCCAGAATCTAAATTGGAGAGTAGTGGAGATTATGCAGCACAGGCTGACTTTCCAGACCTGCTCCTTACTTTTAGGAATACGAACCTCAATTAAAAAGAATACGATCTCGCCACTAGTACTCCTCTATTGTTTTAAGGCGGGAGAGATGCAATTAGAGCGCAGGGAGCATTTATGCAGGAACCACAGCGTGGAAAGACCGGTGAAGTGCACTGTGCTTGTCTTCCGTATATGATGACTTAAGTTTCGAGTGACCTCATGCCAAATGGAAATGGGTTGAGAAATCTTGGTTCAGTGCCTAGTGGACAATAGCCTGCATTAAAAAGTGCATGCATAATTTTGCACAATTTAGATTCAATTGACAGTCTATTCAAAGAAGTCTCAGGATTAAATGAGCATGGAGACCAAATTGCCCTCTTACCCCAGAAAAGGGGTGGTCCCTGCTAGTCACGCTAACACTTCATTGGACCAACAGTGTGACAAATCTTGCAATGAACCCTGCAGTAGCCTTCATCTGTAGGTTAATAGCAGTCTTTTGTCTCCACGGCTTTCTCTTCGTAGCCCTTTTACTGAATTCCATCACAGAAAGTTTTACAATTAAAAAAAAAAATGTCCTGACAACCATTTTTGTAAATGAACCTTACCATCTAATTGTCCCTTATTCAGCATGGTGACATTAACAGAATGTGAACTTCTTGTGAGGGAGCCAGCTGTCTAAACCTGGCAGATTGTGCAGTTTTATACACATTCTCCCAGTCATCGCTTCACTGAAAGCAATCACGATATTGCTATAGATGGAGCAAGATCTGAAAATCCAGCCTTTCTCCTCACGTCCTTAATCTTTCCACCTCTTCCAAAAGGACCCTTGCAAAAAACAAGGTGTGATATTGCCATTAGTTCTCCTCTTTAAAAATATCTATATTAAACTGACCAGACCCACATTTTGGCACAGGCCTCTCCCCAGGAACACATGCACCCCAAGTGTCACTGCCTTTGCTCTTGTGAGTCCTTGGAAGGAAAGACCAAAGTCTTCCAAAAAGGAAGAGAGCGAGGCCTGCGGATATTATGCCTGAGCAAAGAACAGAAAGTCATTTCTTTCCGTTCTCAGAAAAGACATAAATAGCAGAGGTTAACGGATGGCTACGCGTTTTGAACTCAGTGATCATTTCCAAAATCTTTGGAACTTTTCAAGTAGGTTTTTAAAATCCACAACTGGAGAACTGTCTTCAGTGATTCATAAAAAGGGACTGAGAGGAACTGGTTAAAAAGTATGAGCTAAGGAAAAGCGATGGCCCCGTCACACGGTGACGGCATCTGCGCCAACTCGGTCCAGAGCGCGCCCCCTCCACCTGGAAGAACAGTGCCCTCGCTGGGAACACAGGTGTGTGAAACAAAGTAGCGAAGTGGGAAAAGGTCTGTGGTTATGCCTTTGTCCATTCTAGAGCTTAATATATGAGTGTCAGTTTAATCGGAACTGCTGTTATGGCAGGTTATAAAGAGTTGGAAAGAAACTTTCTGCCACGGCTTCTGCCACACTTTTCCCTAGTTCAGAGAACCTTGATTTCCTGCCAGTCACATATGGTGATGAGAAGAACACAGAACTGACACATTATTAAAGTGAAAAGAAGGGGCGATTTCAGAAACCCGAGTGATGATAAAAAGTACTTTCATCCATACCTTTCTTGGAATTTTGTTTTAATGTGGATTATAAAAAATTTGTTTCATCACAAAGAGTACTCAGATGTTTTTCTCAGATTAAGGGATTATCTCTTAAAGAGCAAAGAAACCTACACCAGTATGTACACACAACCTAAATAGAAAACTTTTTCATTTGCATACTTCAGAACAAGCACTTCTCTATTTATTTGTTTGAAAATAATTAGATAATAATGTACTAACAATTTTAATATATTTCTTTTTAATATCGTTTGTATCTCTGAATCGTATACAAAAGTCTACTAGGTATGAAGGCATGAGGTTAGATGCTACATCTAGGGTCATTTAAAGTACACAATAATTTAAACTTTTATTAGTCAAACTTTTAGTTTTAAAAGATAAAAGAGAAACCAAGTCCAAATTTTTAAGAGAAAAAATAAGGTATAGCACAGGCAGTTGTAGTTGGCCGATCAATGAAGTTTCTGAGCATCTCTATAGAATGTTACTTATGAGACCTATTTCTCTCTCTCTCTCTCCCTCTCTCTCCCCCTCCCTCCCCCCTCCCTGCCCACCCCAATATAGCCTTCTTCCTTTTAACCTCTCCCTTCTCTATTTCTGTTTGTTTTTTTTAACTCAACAATCATGTCCTCAATACACCCATAATGAAGATGTCCCGCCGTAAGTTGCTATCGACTTTTGCTGGTTATGATCTTTTATTTATTTTCCCGGAAAATACCCTCTCCTGGTCTCACATTCGCTGGGACTCTGTATCGTGAGGACCAGGAGATAAACAGAAACACCCCAGACTGATCTCTGGCAGTCACTGAAAGGCGTGATCGAAAGCAGAAATGATGACCAGCCAGATGCTCGCGTTCAGCCAGAACGCCCTCACAGACACAGAAGAGACACGCCAATATCCCCAGCAAAGAGCCTCAGCTAATGGCAGGGAACATCAGTAGCTATTTCCTAGAAGGAGATTATTCCAAATCTATGAGGAAAGAATAAGAAACAGTTCCTCAGTGGAGACGTTAGCATCTTCTTTTCCCGCCTCAGATGACACTTGAATTTGCAGAGAACTCAGATCCCATGCCTGGTAAATGCGCCTATTTCTATAACACCCCAGGAATGTAGTGGGCCTGTTCCTGTGAATGCTGGCGATACCTGCATACAGCTCCTCTTTAGAACATCCAAAAGAAATATATGTTTGTTTTCTTACCTTCTTTCTCTTTACCACACCAACACGAGCTAGCCATGCGTCCAGTACTGCATAGAATGTCAGTGAAGGTGGGAAACCTAAGAACAGAAGCATTCTGATATCAAAAATGACCGTAGGAACTGTCAAACACTAGTCCTAGCCAACTTCGACACTTCTTTCTCTTAAATATCTCCTCATAAGTTTTGGAAGCTGCCTTAGAATAAGTGTTTAGGAGAGTTAAGATGCATTCCCGAGCACACGAGGGAGTGTTGTAGTGTGGCCGTGAGAGATTTCTTCGTTTGTCAGATTGGCACTTTTCTTAAATTCTTCATTTACCAACCCAAATTCTTCAAATACCAACCCAAGGTAGATCCATCATTTACCTTGCTTACTTTTATATGGGTCACATACAAGTTGGTTGGAAAAATTTTAAAAATAACTAATGGATCTTTTGTATCAACAAAAAACTAGGCTCAAAAGTTTACTGCTTTTTTTTTTTTAGCCAGACTACATAGTAGTTTACCAAAAAAAAAGTATCAATATGAATTCTAAGGTTACCTCTCGTGTACATCACAAAGTCCGGATGAAATGATGTCACATTTCAGTCAGGATGGTTTTGCAAGTGTAGGTGATGTATTATTTAAAATCAAGCTACATACACACACATATATAAGCAAGTTAACTTAAAAGTTTGGTGAGTTATCCTGACTATAATCTCTGAGTTAAAAAGACATTTTGGCACGTAAGATAGAAAGAACAGAGCATTAACAGTGATGGGAAATTCATAATAGTTAAATATAAAATAAACTTTGTCTTTGCAGTTAGAAACTAATTCTTGTCCATTTCCTTTTAAACTAATAGGTAGCTAGCAACACTTTCCATTCACATGGACAGTGTATGATCAGGTTTGGGATAGTCTCTGCCCAAAAATATATTTTGGATATTTCTTTACATCATATTCTTAAAATCTGAGACAACTTTCCTAGAATAAGATAAGATTCCATGTGTAATAGGGCCTAATACTACTTAATACATTAATTCATTCTATTCATAATACTATTGTTGAGAAATCAAGTTGACAACTTTATCAGATATCAGATACACTGACAGCACATTTTTGGACATGCATTTCACCGAGAACTATGTAGTGACAAGGTAAATGACACTGAGGTATTACGGAATTTGTGGAGCTTGATTCCCTAGGATATGTGAAAGAAGACTATTTATTTAAAAAAAACCCATCTAATGAAAATGAAACCATTGCTAAATCACTATCCTTCACAAGCGTAAGAGAAATCTAAAAAGAAACTCCCCAGTCTTCCTGGGCTTTGTCTGGGACGCACTTGGTGCAGTTTTAAAAGAATGGTTGCCTTTGTCATTCTTCTAATACATTTCGGTTTCCCTACTTGTCCGCTTTCCTTCAGGCTGCTGACAATTGGGGTGATTCGTCCATAATCTCACATGCAGAAGACACCCAGCCAAGCCTTGCTTGAATCCCTAGTAGCGAAGGGCAGAAGGCTGTGTGAACACGTGCAAAAGCAGGTGCGTGTTTGAGGGAGCAGAGCTGGTGTACGCACTAGCTGGGATTCCTACAAATGTTCCCCCGAAAACAAGCACGCGGAGTCATTGGCTCAGAGAATGACATTTGCATTACTCTGCTTTATTTAACCAAGCTATTACAAGACACATTTCTCTTTGATCAGCCTTCTATTATTCAGCCAGCCATCCATTCATTAGTTTCAGTAAATATTTACTGAGGTATCTAGTGTGATTATGTGACAGAGAACAGGCCAGGACATTCATCGTGGCGGATTGTGAGCCCAGTGGTATGATAAACATGTTTGAATCGAAAGGTACTAATCACGCCCAACCCGCTCCGATTCAGCTCAGCATTAGAATCCAGCGCTAGGAGTACAGATGGCCGAAAGTACACCTGTGTGTATCTGTACGTGTGCACACACCCATGTATATATATTTATCTATCTGTACAAACACGACATATGTATACACACTATCTATGTAATATATAATATATGTATAATGCATATAAATTCTAACAAGTGTATTTGTGTTATCTTTAAAATAGAACAACTGTATCTTGAAGTGGTAAATGCAGAGAATTGGTTTTTATTGTTGATCTGTGGATTTAATGATTTTTTTAGGTGAAAAGGATGTTTAAGTGTACAATTTCTTTTCTTAATTTAATATATTTATGTAAATGCATGCCTGAAATTTGGTTAGATTGACTGTGTTTTGTGCCTTTTAACATGATCAAATGTATTAAACTTTATCTTACGACCTGATATGCATGTGCTATTTTAAAATTCTTTTTTTTTGTTTTAGTATTTAAAAGTGTTCCTAAATGTTCATCCTGATAATAGGAACCCCAGTTTTTAGGTACTCTATACCCAAATTACTACTTCAGAATATTCTTGCCTTTTGTCATTTTTCATATTCTGAGTTTAAAATTTTACTCCCCCAAATGTATGCCAACGCTAAAGGTCAGCTTCACTGTGTGGGTGTATTAGGCAGCCTTGAGATGTTTTATTGGCTTCAGTGTACTCGAAGTTGTAAAAGACTTCAGTCGGATCCTCTCAGGTAGGTAAGACTTAAGAGGGATGTAAACGAGCCACTGAGAGCGCTGAGAGCCCAGTCTGAAGGGAAGAGGCAAGCAGACAAGGCAGGGCATGAGAAACGGGGGGTTGCAGACTCCCCCAGACTTTGCTGACCTTGCCACTTAGCTTCCCATTAACCCCATAGAGAGTATTTATGTAAGGACAGGTATGCTGTTTTGAACATGGGTATTAAATCTGCCAGTATTCTTTAGAACAAAATGCTTTCATCTAGTCTCCTTTCTCCTTGAGTAAATACAGCTCTGACTCATCAGGAAGAAAAGCTCTGTCTCTATGACTATTGCTAAGAGAATAAAATGTGTTACAAGCTTATTCACAGAGGCCCTTAGTTTGGGTGACTCCCTGGTTTTGAGTTAGGCAACGTGACACCAGGAGAAGTGTCCTTGAACTCCCTCCTGGTGACCTCTCCCTGTTGACCTCTGCTCTCCCACATCTCAGAATCTGTCCCAGGGGTCTCGCCCGTAATTACCCTCCTTGTTTCTTGCGCAGATCTGGTCTCTGCAACCAGATCAGAAACCTCCGGAGGGCCTGTCTCCTCTTTCTAGATTCTCTGGCAGACTCAGAGCAGCCCCTGCACACTTGCCATCAGGAAAAGAATAATAATACGTCCCTAGCGGCCTAGAGGCGGATGGGGTTTCTTGCCCTTGCCGATCGGGCCCTTCACCGCCCCCTCACTGACTTCGTAGCTCTGCCATCACCAGTGGCATCGATTCCCGGCGTTACTGTCCCTTCGTGGTGAACGCCTGGCGTGATTTCTGTGTTCCCTTTCTAGACTGAGTGAGCTACATACATGAGTTAAGACATATGGAGAGAGAGAACATGGTAGAATCCCAAAGGGACACGCCGAGATTGTCCTCAGGAGCGCATGATAAAAAACCACGGCCTCGAAGCCCACTGTGATCGCAGCGAGTGGGGCCGGAGCGGCCCCTCCTCCGAAGCCGACCTGTGGCCCTTAAACGACCTAGGTGGCCACCAGAGCAAAAGGCTGTCATCCCCGCAGCTGTCCCTAAGAAGTTTCAGAGCTCACATCTGCACTGTTAAAATTGTCCGTTCCCACTCTGCCCAGGAAACTGACAGCTCATGTGAGAGACAGTTCCAAGAACTGGCTTCTTTACGTTCACTTCTATAAAAGAATGTTTAGAGTAACGTACTATTGACAATGGAAGTACAACTTCAGATAGCAGCCACACTTAGTCCTCGATCAGAAAAAAATACAGCCTTTTCTATTTGCAGTTCCAAAGAGTTCTCTCTGGAGATTGAATCCTACTATCATTCAAATACATGGAAGGATAATGAAGAAAATCAGCTGGGATGAACTATCTTCTGCATTTTCACAAGTTTTTCTTTGATTTCTATACAATATTCTCTATGATAAAACAAGCAGACAGAGTTTAAAAGGGGGGAAGGGTGGGGCAGGAGAGGAGCGAGAAGCCTGGTCGCTCCTGAAGACGAAGCTCATTCTTCTCGGGACTCTGCCCACATCAGAAACGACGTGAGCTCACTGTTGCAATTTAATAAGGTGTCATCAGATCCCTTTCACATATTTACAGCCTTCTAATTACAGCTACTTGATGCAAAATCCATGCGGTTCATGTAAGTCAATTTAGATGATCATAGTTACCTCGCTGCATGCTCCACAGCCACCAGACGCCGCGCATGCCAGGTGTGCCGGCAGGAACCCTGGGCTGGGGCTGTGCCTGCGGCCCCCGCCTCGTGTCTCCCA